TTCTGACCTAGATGGCTGCTTGTTTATCTTCAAGCTTTTAAGACCCCAGACGCTATATCTTTTGGTAGCCGGGCACCATCAGCTTTCTTCACCACATTTGCTTATGCACCCAAATTCTCTCTTTGTTATTTTTAATTTTATTGAAAGTTTACATAGCACAGCAGGTTCCCATATAATAATCTCTGCAAAAGTTGGTCAGTGACATAAACTACAGTTCTCACAACGCCTTCATATTCTTATTAGTTGTGTTGTGGTTATTCCATTTCCAGCAGTCTATTTTCCCTACCTCCTCGTCTTCTTCGCTTGAGAGTAATTGGGGTGCCAACTGAGTGAGTTGTCCCAGGAAGCTAACTGCCTCCCCAAACAGAAAAACAGTCTTTCAAAGTGTTTAGTTATGTCTGAGCAGTACCCGTAACCGTGACCTCTATCGCTCTGTGTGTTTATTTGCATGTGTGTACACCCACTTTCTGCTGGCTTCCGGCTCATAGTGCTATTTCTGCGGTCAAAAGGACTGGTGAAATTTGTTACCAAAAAGAAATCTTTTTGTCATTTCAGCATTTTCTGTGCCTTACTTTATCTTTTCTTAAAATGAAACAAAATCTTGCCACTGAGTAACTCTCTTCTTTAGATCATGACTACGATATTAAAAATTTGGAGAAACTGAAAACAGCCAACCATTCTGAAACTCCAAACACACTGTCATTGAGTCGATGGGACGCGGCAGATGTGCCCTGTGTGGGTTTCTAAGGCTGTGATGCTTTGTGGGAATAGAAAGTCTCAGCTAGTGGTTTTGAGCTTGCAATGAGCAGCTCAGACCCACTACCCCACCCACCTAACCCAGTACCCCACCAGTGATTTATTAACAGCAGTCCTTATTGTTAGATACTATTCAGTGCTGAAAATGAAGTCTGCCTGCAGAGTTGTGAAAAGAGGGTGATTGACTGTATATTATGTGGAGAAAAAAGCAAATACAGAACAATAAGAGGGTTGTGAAGCTATTGTTTCTCAACAAATCCTCCGTCTAGGGGTGTACACTTTGGAAGGTCGTGTTTCCACCCAGCCATTTCTTCTGTTTACCTGACATGAAATGACAGTTTGGGTACACCTGAGGGACTCAAATCACGTCCTTTAGAAATATTCTTTGAATTTGAGGTACCAAAAATGGCTGCAGCAGCACGATCCTGGCTGTAGGGTGGCTGGGGTAATATTTTCCTTTTTTTAAAAAAAATCATTTTATTAGGGGTTCATACAACTCTTATCACAATCCATACATACATCAATTGTGTAAAGC